TGGTAAGCTTTCTTTCTCGTGCATAGGTGAGCGTTTCGCATTCCTCGCAGGTTCATATTCGCTTGTGACCTGTTCAGGTTCCTAAGGCCACCGAAAGTTCGACTTCCCCAATACCATGTTCGTCACAAGAAATGGATTGTGGGTTACCACCAATACTCAGTGTGTGTGTGTGTGTGTTTGACATCGAGGCTGCTGCATTTCGCAATTGCGCAGCAGCGGCTCTGAACGTGGCGAAGACTGTCGAGGCAGCAAGCAGCGCGGGCTCTCACTCCGGGCTCTTCATGACTTGGACATGCTTCCTGCCAAGGCATCGCAACGCACGGAGCTGGAAACCCAATACAGGCTCGTGGCCCTTGTGCACTTCATCTCTGGGGTTTTGGTTCCTTTGGTTCCTTTGGTTCCTTTGGTTCCTTTGGTTCCTTTGGTTCCTTTGGTTCCTTTGGTTCCTTTGGTTCCTTTGGTTCCTTTGGTTCCTTTGGTTCCTTTGGTTCCTTTGGTTCCTTCGGTTCCTTCGGTTCCTTCGGTTCCTTCGGCTCCTTCGGTTCCTTCGGTTCCTTCGGTTCCTTCGGTTCCTTCGGTTCCTTCGGTTCCTTCGGTTCCTGGTTCCTTCGGTTCCTTGGGTTCCTTGCTCCTGTGAGGCGCCGTGCAAACGACCTGGGCCGGCAGATCACGGCCTACGTGCGCAAGGTCGCGCCGCGTTTCTGTTGTTTGGTTTTGGGGAATGCCTCGAAAGCCACCGAGAAGCCACCGAAAGCTACCGAAGAGCCACCGAAAGCCTCAACGCTGCGTTGCACAGGAGCGGACGAGGCTGGATGCGGCAGCGGAGTTTGCTGAGTTGGTGGCTGGTGCCCAACCAGGCTCCTGCCACACATGTTGAGAGGGTTGCTGCGAGCAAGGTGCAGATATGCAGTAGTTGAGTGGCAAAGACTGACGCCGAAAAGTTACCAATTCTGCGTGTTGGGCGAGTCAGCTCACTCGGCCCTTCAGGAGACGCCAAGGCGAACGAGGAGCTGATGGAAGCGACGGTCGTGGCGCAGGAGGCGTCAAGTTCGTTGAGTTGCCGGAGGGAAGGGCGAAGCGGCGAGACATGAACTCACCGATTCACTTCACCGTTCACCAACTTACGGGCTAGAGCCTGGCACGTAGGTAGCCGCCCATATCAAATCAGCCGTCGTGGCTGCCGAGCTAAGATGGGCATGTATGGCAGCATGCAGAGGAACGTGACGTTTCAAGATTGATAGCGTTAAGCCTCTCTCGACAGGGCTAATGAGAGAGAGGTTTTCTCTTGAATGCATGGTTGGATGTGCGTACAGCCCGCCACGAGTGTCAGCAAGTTCCATGCCGCTGACAATACAGCATATTGAACAGCATGACGAAAGAATCTCTGGATGTGGGCATGGCCAAACATGAAGCTCCACCAGACATTCACTATGAAGCTGCACGTCGAAGTCGTAGCAGGCGAGGCAGTGAAGGAGATAGAGCAGTGCCTCATCAGGCACCTCAGTTCGTACATATCGCACAAGAGCTTCGTGCTGCACATCGTCATCCACCAGATGCTGAATCAGATGCCGAATCAAACGTCTCAGAAACAACTCTCAGACCATCCGGCATGGAATTTTTGAGACGTTGCAGCAAAACGTCCAGCATAAAGTGTTCAAGCAGCGATAGCTTGTCCTGATGCAGTGTCGGAAGCCAGAAACGGTGCCTGGAGATATGCCGAACTAGGAGTCACAGTTGAAGATTGTTCTTGTTGAAGATGAGCTGCCGAATGAGGATGGGAAAGAGGATGGGAGGAGAGTTGTTGTGGAAGGTGATGTGTGTCCAAGCTTCAGTCACTTCGTTAAAGTATGTTGAAATGACCAAGACATCATTCGTGGCAGGAGAAGACCAAATGATAGAATTAGATCGAAAAACCTTGTAGCCCAGAACCAGAACAGGGAAGGTTTAAATTGAGTTTGAAGCTTGAAGGGTGGAGATGTGTAGACGGCGAGCTGCTGCATTTTCGCAGAGATCTCTTTCAAAGTGGTCGGGGAATGCCATGGTCACCATCAGTTTTGCTGCAGGTTTGGCGGGCGGTACAGGCCTTGTTGCAGCGCGTCGATGCCTTGGGCGAGAGTGGGGCTGATGCGGAGGCTGGCACCAACTTGAACCCCCCCCCTCTTCAGGCACCGGTGTGAGGGTCTGTACGTGCTACGTGGCTACAACCTGCAATGGGAAGGTTCTGTGGCATGTCATAGCAAGCCTTGCCAGGTGGTCACGAGTACCTCGGAGGTCGCTGCCAGCAATGCCGATCTTTTTCTGCAGCGGTCATGACCAGAATTCCATGGTGCTTGAGCATGTTTGTGCTTAGGGTGCATGGCATGTGGCTCAGGAATCAGAGGCGTTCTTCCTGAAAGCAGCCGAGCAGGCATTGCTGAGCCTGTTGGGAGTCAGAATCAGTGCGCCTCATTTAGCTGATGGTGATGGCTACATGGGGTGGTTCTGACGGGCCTTTGTCAATGGACCCCCCAGAAGGGGACCCTAATTGGCCCAGCCCTAGTTTACAATCACTTAACTCGCACTCTCCTTTCTGAGATGGTGTGGGTGCGTGTGGGAGGAAGAGAGAGAGGTAGAGAGAGAGAGAGAGAGAAAAAAACAAAACAGCAGGTTGTTCCATTTGAGTGGCGCGGGAGCGGGGTCGCGCAATAGCGCGGGGGTCATTCCCCCATACCCCAAAGAAAGAAAGAAAGAAAGAAAGAAAGAAAGAAAGAAAGAAAGAAAGAGAGAAAGAGAGAAAAACAAATTCGGACTTCGCGCGCCCCTCGGGGCAGCCTTCCCCTCGGGGGGGGCTAAGCGTGCAGGAGAGAGAGAGAGAGAGAGAAAAACAAATTGGGGAAACCCCAAACAAAAATGCAGGCTCCCGAGCGAATAGCGGGCCGGAAGAACCAGAGCAACTAGAAGCAAGGAGTCCGCTGAGCCGGGCCAGCAGAATCCCGCAAATATGTAGCACATCAGGCTGACAACTGGGATCCGACCCACTAAAGCTGTTTGACTGGTTTACCTCGGGGGTTTAGGGGGAGTTCCTGGACGGTTTAGGCTGTTGAGCGATGCAAAGGGCGGATCGTCTCACGCGGGAGCACCAAGTCAGCTGAAATCGGCTGAGCAACCTGGATTAGCATTAAGCATAAAAGGGGGCGGGGAACTCGTCAAATCCAGGGCGCGCTTCGCTTCCGCCTCCAAGTATCACGGAACTCACTGCAGACTGGGCGCGCTTAGCGCGCGGGGGGGGGTCCGCTCCCCTCATGCCCCGCAGAAGAAGAAGAAGAAGAAGGAGAAGGAGAAGGAGAAGGAGAAGGAGAAGGAGAAGAAGGAGAAGAGAGAGAGCGAGCTCTGGCCGCCCGGGCAGGGTCTTTGGGCCCGAAGCCCCAAGAAAGAAAGAAGGAAGAGAAAGAAGAAAGAGAAAGAGAGCTCTTGTTGGACTTGACTGCGCAGCTTATAGCTGCCTGTATCGCACTTGCAGTGTGGCTCCTGAAAGGAGCTTTGCTTTTGCGCTGACTGCAACACTTCTGGAGCCGAGTGGGCCTCTGTCTCCTATGGCATCTACCTCTGTGCCCCGGTCGAGCCTTCGTAAAAACCTTTTTGGGTTTTGGCTCTCTGAGCTGCGCCTTTCCTCTGTTTGTGTGTGTGTGTGTGTGTGTCCGTTTGTGAAATGTTGCGTCCCCCCCCTCGGTCTCTTTCCCGGCCGTTGTCCCCCGCGTTCTTCTTCCAGTTTCTCTTCTCACTGAGGCGTGGATTGTGCGGGGCTGCATCGGGGCCTCGGTGTCCACCTGAGCTTCGTGCGCAGCTTGGCCATGGACCGCTGGGCACCCTCCCAGCTGCGGCGCATGGCGGCCTGGATGCGGACGTTTTGGTTGTGGTTTTCTTGTGTGGCGTTCTGCGGTTTCCCGTCTTTCCGGGTTAGGTTACTCGTAAGGGCTTCTGCAAGAAGAAGTCAAAGTGGCTGTGTGTGAAACAGAGAGGATTGCAAGACTCACGTGGTTTCTGGTTCGCCGAGGAGCTCGGAGGCTCGCAGCGCTTCCAGGCCTTCTTGGCGCCCTTCAGCCTCTCACATCTGCACGAGCGTCCCTCTGTCGCCTTTGTTACCTTTGTCGTGTCATCCTGTTTCCATAGCTTCCCCCTTCTGCGCGGCGAAGCTTCAGGCTACGCCTCGCGGGCCGCCGCCTTCTACCGTCGCCGCCTTGACGCTGAGTGCCGTGGCCAGGTATTCAGCGAGCCGCCACCGTCAAAGGAGGAGGCCATCCGCCGAAAGCTTCATGACTCGTACGGTTCCATGCTGCGAGCTCTAGCAGTACTGACATGCTTCAGAGTTGTCAGCAGGGGCGTCGGGTCGCTGACGCCACGGCTTTCGCAGTGGAAGAGCCTCAAAGTGCAACCGATGGTGAAGCAGGTGAGCTGCGAACGCATCTTCACACGACTTGAGAGTCAAGTTGCTGCGAGAAAGCGGGGCTGTTTCAAGACCCACTAATGGGCCCTCCCGAATCCTGAAGGCGTGTCGCTGGCTGCTGAGCGCCAGCAACTTGAGGCCCGTGGCCCAATTTAACTATTTCGCAGATTTCGGCGTGGGGGGTGGGGACTTTTCTGTGGATTTTGGATCCATGTCTGCCATTGTCATCATTGCCATCCATTCCCTCTGGAGGACAAGTTCCTTGCGTTGCAAGGCTGGTTGCAGCAGGCGCTGACGCCAGCCATCTAAAGGGGTGAGTGCCAGGAGTCCACGGATCTGCGTAGCTTTCATGGAGGGGCCTTTTCATCGCAGCAGGGCCGCGCCCCCTCAACAGCGGTACAGTGCTGTAGGGCTGTGGCAACCTTTGGTTGCATCGAGGCGCCTCTGGGCGCCTCTGGGCGCCCCTGGCCTGCGAGGCCGTGTACATAAGGTTTCACACTCAGCGTCTCACTTTCGCCGTATCGCTTTGCCAGAGAATAGCGATGCGTTGCGGCCCTGCCTTCGTCCGAGCTGACAGGAGTTTGACACAAGCATTCCGTTGGTGGAAGAGGCAGGGGGTTCGCATGCGGCAGCAGCCCGGGTTGGGTCGAGAGGTTGGTCATGAACTCGGGTTGCAGAAGTCAGACAGCCTTATCGCTGGTGGTGAATTGTATGCAAGAGCAGAAAGTCAGGCACCGTTTTTGTTCACTGGGTTGGGGTGTGTGTGTGTGTGTGTGTGTGGGGCGTACGTGGACGAAGGCGAGCGTCGGTTTGTAGCAGCTAGAGCACCTGAAGCGACTTGAATTTATTGTTACAGACGCGCATTCTTGTATGAAGGCGGTGGACCAGCTGTTGAGACAGCAGGGAGTCGACAGGCAGGGAGATCTGTGGCCAACTTCTCGTTGTGAGAGCAGTTTTTTTTAGAGGCCCACGAGCCGACTCCGCTTTCGCCACGTGCCCTATGGCCTGGCATGGCCGCTGCGGTCATTGAAGGCCGAGTTCAGAACTTCAGAACCCTTGCACCATCGGGATCCGTAGGGTGAGAGTGTGCGTCACCTCAGGAGATCCGATATTCTCTGGTGGGAAAGTTCATTACAGCTTCTGGCCTGGTTGCGACTTGACGGCTGATCTACCGCTTGGACGTTGGGGTCATCTGAGATCTCACCATACAGCGAACCATCCCAAGGCAAGGATTGGGGTCGTCAAGGCGGTGGCCACGACACGATTGTTCCAGTGCTCTGAATGCCGGCGCAGGCAGCCAGAAAAAGCATGTGAAACCATGTCTCCAAGCAGCTGTTTTTGCGCACACTGTGTGGAAGACTCCGCACCGATTGTTGCATCACAGTTTTCTGACCGGCTGACTTGCCCAGCTTCTCGGTGGCCCCGCTGGGGATGTTGGGAGAGGCGCCGCAGAGCTGCCCCGGAGGCCCCAACTGCCCAAACTGCCCCCGGAATGCGTCGGCATGTCAGCCGGAGCCGTTTGGAGCCGCTCAGGTGAAGGGTTTCCTTGTGGCTGCTCAGACTTTCAGGACCTCGGAGGCGGAGAGCAAAAGGAGATGCAAAGCAACTTTTGAAGAAGGATGTGTTTGGATGTGTTTGGATGTGTTTGGATGTGTTTGGACGTGTTTGGATGTGTTTGGATGTGTTATGATGTGTTTGGATGTGTTTGGATGTGTGTGGACGTGTTTGGGATGTGTTTGGGATGTGTTTGGATGTGTTTGGATGTGTTTGGGGACAGGCGATGCCATGACAGACTACCAGGAAATTCGGCTTCAAGATGTGGTGCCGGGCAGTGGCTCGTGCGCAAGTCGCAAGTCGCGAGTCGCAAGTCCGGATGGGGGTAAGTGCAACGGCAAGGCTGTGTCTTCGACAGAGTCATTGCCTGAGGTGTTGGCACCACATTGACGGTCATTCTGGTGGCTGATCTTGCGGGCAGCGCAGTGCCTGGTGACATCGTGGTCGTAGGCCCCGTGCGCCTGCACGTGATTTCACGTCATAGCACGTCTCACGCCATTGCGCGTCTGTGTACTGTAACGGGCAGATGCAGCCAATGCAGTGCACAAGGTGGCGTTCTTCGTGCGATTTGGGCTCGGTCGAAGGCGGTGGCTGAGCTCGTCCTCGAGGCCTCCGATGTGCGCCAGCAGCAAGAGGCCGGCTAGGGCGGCCGGCTAGGGCGGCCGGCTAGGGCGGCTGTGGGTGGGCACTCGTGGATGGAGAGTTCTCTGATGAGCGCATGACAGGTGCCTTCACGTCCCCGCACCTTGTTCTTGGGCGCTCCCAGTGACCCTCTGGCTCACCGCAACAGCCTGCTGCGCAGTGTGGCACCGGGTCTTCATGGTCTGGAGGCAAAGCGGATAGCAAAGCGGCTGGCAATGTGATGGACAATCTCCATCAATCTCCCTCCCTCGCCAGGTTGCCAAGTTGGCTCTGCTGCTAACGTTGGTGGGTGGTGGACCCTCGGATCTACCTCAATCGACAGGTGATGTGGAAAGGTGCTCCTTCATTTCTCCTTCATTTCTCCTGGCATGGTCAGAGCTTTCGCGTGTTGTGAGTGTGGCTTCCGCCCATTCGCGTGCAGGTGGTCCCGTTTCATGTCAAGCGATCACCATGATGTGGCATCAGATGCGCAGAATGGTTTGCAAGAAGCCACGAGCTCGCAGCCTGACTCAGAATCGCTTTGCTCATTCCTGCCTTGGTCTTGCTGGCATGGGCAGAACGGATCGTTCCTCCCGACGCAGGCGACACTCCACACACCTCCTGTTCGTTGGCGATGCTGCAACTGGCAAGACTAAGTTGATCGAGGTGCGCAGTTTGGAGCCTCGCTTGGAGCGTCAGGGAGGGGTGCGGGGGCTGTTGGCTTTGTCGGCTTTGTGGCTTTTGGACTTCAGGCCTCGGGGCTTGTTGGCTTTATGGCTTCGAGAGGAGGAATCCTGCTTCATACGTGTTTTGACGAATGTTTTTGCTTCTGCCTTGCGAGTGGCACTGTTTTTGGCATTTTGCATCACCATTGCTATGTTGCTTTTTAGTTTTTATGATTGTCAGTCCATTGTTTTTGCATCACGATCACCATTATTATTGTTTGCTCTTGCTTCTGATGTATGAATATTGTAGCTGCTACAACTGCCATTTCAGCTTCCTCTTTTTGCTATCTCTGTGCGCAAAGCAGCGGCTAAGCATGTGTGCTCAGTGTTTTTTCAAGTTGCTAGTTGTTTCTGCTCTTGCTACTCTTTCAGACAGTTTAGTACTCGATGATGACACTCACGATTCTCACAAGCCTAGGGTTATGACTTTCATTTGTGGTAAACACTGTGGCCATATTGGAAAGATTTTTTAGTGTTTTTCGAGTGATTTTGAAGTGATTCTGGATAGTGATTGTCTTCAAGGGTCGCTCCGAGATCACCCCGAAAGCGCTCCGAAAGCGCTCCGAAATCGCTCCAAAATCGCTCCAAAACCGCTCCAAAATCACTCCGAAATCACTCCGAAATCGCTCCATGCCCTGGAAAAAGCTTGAATCTCGCGCAAACCAATTTTTTTCTAGCGTCATTCCAAAATTCCGAATCACTCCGAAATCGCTCCAAAATCACTCCAAAATCGCTCCACAAAAATCACTCCGAAATCGCTCCAAAATCGCTAGAAAATTAAAGTGATCATCTACAATGTTTACCACAGAATGAAAGTCTTAAGCCTAGGGCTTGCATTCAAGCGTGGAGGGTTGCCGGAAAGGTTTTGCAACTCTCGAGTTACCCCCCCCTGCCCTGGAAAAAAAGAAAGCAAGAACGAATGAAGGAAGCAACCACACACACTCACTCACACTCACACCGCACACACACCAATAATGACGTACCGCAAAACTTCATTGCCCGCCTCCAGGTCATGTAGGCTTGTGGGCCCCCTCCCAATTCTCACAGTCCCAAATTGGGCTACTGCCGTGGTTCAGGGTATTTGGGGATAGATTTGAGGTTTATGACCTCGCCTTGCTGTCAGAGTAGGAATTGGGTGCTACGAATCGCGCGAGGAGGTGTGGTTGCTAGTTAAGACATGTTTGGACACCGCAGAGGCTCATGGAGGCGGGGGCTTGACACGATCTAAATCACATCCGGCACAGCATGGGGGCACAATCGGCATGTCACAGCTCTTCGGTACATGCATATCTTAAGGGCCTTCTCCGAAATGTCGCATGGCCGGCCACGGAGAAGCACACGGAGGGTGCTGCTCAGTGCCTCGTTCTGTGCAGGTCTAGCCCGGCGCTCGGAGCCCCTTTGGAAATTGAGTTGTACTCGTGCAAGCAGAAGCAGATCCGAAGCACGGACAAGGCTCTCACGGGCTTTCACAGAGCAAGCCTCCACCCCAGCAAGCCAGCAAGCGAGGGCTCCTTTCTGCCCCTCGGTCAACCGTGCTAACCAGTGAAATTCGAGCGAGGCTTCGTATCGCCGCCGACATGGCAAGCAGGCCAGAAATGGGGAATGCCTGCTATTTGCAACCCCACATTTGCCACTCATCGCCATTTGACACTGCTTGACAGGCACGCAGGCCCACACTAGACGGGAGGCAGCTGTGAAGCGGAAGACACTCCCATTACTGCTCACGGAATGATTGCCAGCCATGGAAAGGCTCGCATCTGCCGTGCAGTTCCTGCGAGGCCACGAGGGTTTGCACTCGCACAACTGCCCATCCCTCCTGGTGCATGTGATTCGGCTCATTGGCTCACTGCTTTGGATTGCCGCTTTGGATTGCCTCCAGGATGGCGGACGGCTATGAGCGAGTGGAGGAGCTTGCAAAACCCGGTTGCTGCTGCTCTTGCGTCAAGTGAGCCACGATGAGCCAAGTGAGTTCAAGTGACAAGAACCTACTCAAAAGACCCAGGACGAGATTTTCTGCATGGACATCGAGGCGAGTTCTGTTCGAGGTTGTGCCTGCAAGCCAAATCCCGTGCCTGTCAGACGGGCACCTCTTCATCGTCTGCGACCAGGCTGGAGGCCGGCTTTTCTGCAGACTTTCTGTATTCCGAACATTCTTCGGAGCTTGCAACCTATATGCTCCAGTGCCCTACAGGTGATGCTGCCGGAGGAGCGCGATCTCGAGCCGATCTCTCACCTGGTGCTCAGCAGTCCAGGGCCCTAGAGACTGTGTGGTACGATGTGGGTCACACGTCTCACGCATTCATAAAAGTTATAGGAGCCTCCTCATCATCATGAGGTGTCTGTCCTCCAAACAGCTGCCTTTCTCTGCCTCCTCCTCCCCTGCTGCTGAGGTTTTCCCGAGGTGGTGGAAGCCTGGCTCTTGCCGGAGGAGCTCGGCGGAGTCGCCTGGGCCCGCCCTGCACAGGAGGGAGAGAGACCTCGGAGACCTCGGAGACCTCCCTCCCACTCCCTCCCCTCCCTCTCACTCACCTTTAAAAGAGAGAACTCGAGTATCCCCAATTGGGGGGGAGTCAGAGCACTCACTTCTCTCTGAACTCAAAATTCTTACAAAGAGTGATTTCAAAAAGTGCGATCAATTGCCCAGGCTTGGAATGAGCTTGTCAAGGCATGGGAACGGGGCGCGCCGGCCTCAGCGCCACGATCTGACGACCATCAAGTCTCGCAGTTAATCAGAGAAGGGTCCCATCAGGGAGACGCGTCACTTGTGCCTTTGCCTCCTGGTTATTTGGTCGCGTGTGACAAACCGCCGCTTGCGGTTTCTCGCTCTTGGTGCCTCCCAGCTGACGCCAGCTGCCACTTGTGAACTTTGTAAACACAGCGATTTCCTAGCCTTCCTAGGCACCCGCGACCCCAAGAACGAGACGAGCAGTGAACAGAAACCCCAAACTCTCTAGGAGATGGGAGTGGACAGGCCTGAATTTGAAATCCAAAAGGAGATGGCCGGAAACTTGAAACTTGGAAGACCTAAGCTTGCCCTAAACTCCAAGCCGGAAACCTTTTGCTGCCTAGACAGGGGATGGTCAGCAGGCGGCCTATGCCTGGGATAAGGGCACGGCCTATTACATCGGCAACACCTGGCACAGGGTGATAGAGTGGCCCCTCCCACATCCACTCCCCGTACGAGTTCAGCTGGCTCCCATGGCACGAAAACGATCGAACATGCACTCGACTTTTATAGCACGGTCCAATGAATCTCCGTGGGGGCAGCTACAACGGAATGAACATGAAGGCTGTGGAGACGGCCGCGTAGAAGGATCTTTTTCCATGGCTGCCATGCGCAGCGCGATGAAGTGTGCCGATCGGGCCTACAACAGTGCACAGCGGCCGGGTACTTGCCACTTTCAATCCGTCTACACTGCAAACGTCCATCCCGATGACACCCCGTAAGCCCTAAACCCATATGAGTGGCCAAGAAGGAGAAGTCGACAGTAACCTGCATCTCTTTACAACCCGCGTATCGTTGGTGAAGCCATGTGGGAACACCCACTGCCCTCGCGAAGGCTTGGGTGTCAAATGTGACGGCGTGCGTTGCATACATGGTGTCAAATTTGCGCGTGATGAGGTCATCCGGGCATCGCTGTCTGTGAATTTCCAACGTGTCATGACCCTTGTCCGGTTATGCAAGTGCTGTGCCAGATAGAGGTGGTTCGGTATTCTTTTCATGCTCAACGTGTTGGATGTAGGGCAGAACCCAACTCTAGCTCAGGAAGCGGCCCTCCTTGCGAAAACCGTGGCGATGGCAGTTTGAGGCCGCGGAACTGGAGCATTGAACAGTAAGAGAGGCTTCTGTGTCTTCTTCTTCTTTTTTTGTCGCCTGTTCTGTGGCAGTTCAATCAGAATGCTGCGACACCTGTGCAAAAGGGCGACTCTCTGGGCCTGCTGCTGGTGGAGCAAGGTACGGTTGATACGGATGATTCGGGGGATTTCGGGATGTTTTTAAGTTGCTGTAAAGTTTTTGGCTGCTATGAGTCAAGGGGTTACCCTGCAGGTGGCGCTTCTGGTGCTTCCCCCGTGGCTTTCTGCGAGTTGCCAGGCCGCATCGGGCAGCCGTTTCGTTCATTCACTGAGTTGAATATGCTTCCGAATGCTTCCCCATGTCCATTTTTCTTCCTTCTTCACGCTGTCTTCTTCGTGCCAGAACATAAAAAACTCCGCACTTCTTTTGAGTGGCGTTTTGGACCTCCAAGGCTCTGCATTCTCCCAGCGAACGGAAGCCCTCCGGATGACTTCGGGGCCACCATGCGCAAGCCCAAGATGTGGCAGGAAAGCGTCATTTTCTGATGTTCTGATAGGCACCGCACTGGGTGTGAGCTCAAGGTCCATGATCATCGACAACAATCAAAACTCTGTGACCATCCCAGCTTCCCCAAATGATTGGAATTTGTCCTGGACTAGCTTGGACTTGTCATTGGCTGAGGCCCAGCCCTATCTGCAGAACTTTTGTGTGGCGCCAAAGTGGCGCCGCAAGGGGGTGGGACGTGCCATGCTTCGGATGATCGAGGAGGCCGGGTGGCTGATGTGAGCGCTGGGCGTGAGCAGCTTGCATTGCAGCTTGCAAGTTTCTGCCTGCCAGGTTGTTGTCGAGGTTTGGCGCGCGAATCGGTTGTATCTGCATGCAGCGGGGGGGAAGGTGCGACACACCAACAAGCAGATTTGGTTGGGTTGCCGTCCTGCAGAGTATCCGCAGGCTTCGGAAAGCCTTTACGGAGGTTGTGGCTACCAAGCCACAGGTCTCTCACCCCCCGGTGAACCGCGGGACGCCCAGATGCGCATCCGCTCTGTTTTGCCGTGATGTGTGTGAGTTGTGTGTGCAACCGTAGGTACCGCACTGTGCAAGTCGTGCTGCGAGGAGTCACATGGTGAAGAGCTTCGAAACAGAGGATCTCAAGCAACCCGACAGTGAGGAAGCACAAGAAGCATTCGCCCGGTGACGACCGAAGAGTTGCCAACCTAGGACGGAGAGTTGTTCGAGGCACGTAGGATCACATAGCCCACAGTTTTCAAGCATGGTTTGTGGCTTTGTGGGCAGCTGAGTAGCGGTCCAAACGCCCTGGGCTGCGTACTTTGATTTTCCTTCCACTGCATGAATGCATGGAGCCTTTCATTGAATGATTCAGCATCTTGACGAGCTGAAAGCTGAGATTTTGGCAGCGCGCCAGGAGGTAGCATTTGAAAAGACACGCGGCGTAAGCCATGGCTGTTCTCGTTCCTACTGACGAGTATAGTGGAAAAACAGTGGGTTGTACCATGCCCCAATTTCCTGGTGTACCAGGCAGCATCGGAACTATCTGCGCACGGAGTTTGCTGCAGCGCAGTCGGGGCGACCCGTTCGGGGCGTGCACCCTCAGTTGTTAGGTTCGAGACAGACATATTCTGCAGTAGGGACGGTGAAAACCTAAGAACTAGCGATAGCTAGCGCAATTAGCGAGTAGGGACCAGAAGGCCTGAAGGACTGAGTATGGCTAGTTTGCAGTGAGAAGCTTTTGGGCCTCAGGCTGACCTTCGCCTGCGTGCGCGATGGTGCTGGTTGGAGCTTGGAGGACTGAACAGAGTGAACGTAGTCGTGATGTTGCGAGCCTTTGCGGGAGCCTTTGCGGGAGCCTTTGCGGGAGCCTTTGCCAGAGAGAGCAGAGATGTGTTCGTTTTGTGACGTCACTTGCTGCGACAAGGCAGGAGCGTTGTCGCTGGCTGACGGTGGAGTTTGCTGCATTGATGAGCGGCCTGTCGTGTTTTCTTCCATGAGCTTCAACGCAGCACGAAGTTCGTGGACCTCAATGTGACCGACTTCTGTGCCTTGCAGATTTCGTCATCTGGCCGCGGAAGAGAAGGCAGCGCTGTATGAGGCCGCCTTTGCCCTTGATGCACGTTCTGGTGGTTGCTCCGCAACCAATTTGTTGACACAGCTCTGCATTCTGCTTCTCCGTGAGTTGCGCATATTAAGTTAGTCGGTTAGTAGCCCAGGACATGAAAATTCATATTCTCATGCTATGCAGCACGAGAAGACCGAGAAGACGCGAAGATGCAGACCAGTAGGCGACACGCAGAACATGAGGCTCATGAGGCTACCATGGGATTTCTCGTTGCAACGACTTCTCCTGGCCGATGTCCCGCATAGATGGTGAAGTGGTGGCAGGCGCGCTTTTTTTGCGCGCGAGAGCTTATTAACGCGTTTATAACAGTTGGCAAGAAGAGTGCGCCATCACTCATAGGTTGGAGGCTCCTCGAATGCGGACATTGCTGATGCTGCCGACGTGGCAAGAGCAGTCCAGCCCGCCGAGGCTTCGAGCCTTCATGAGCCTTATCGAGCCTTTTGAGCCTTAACGAGCCTTTTTGAGTGTTTGATCCCTTTGTTGGAACTGAAAGGCGACGTGGAAAGTGCAAGATGACTGGCCCTTTTTCGACTCGCGCCTGGTGGTGGAGACGTCGGCACAGTTTGTTGCGGCGTCCTTTCGAATCAGAGCCTTGCATGCAAATCGTTTTGAGTTTGGGTAAGCTTTGTCACATGGTTTTGGCAATGACCAACGCCACAGTAGCATATGCTGTGCAATGCAGTTATTGCAAAGACCAGCCTTAACAAATCGCAAGGAGCTGGGCAAACTGATGCTTGGCTGCAGCTGGCTTTCAGGGGGTCTCCATCGCTCCAGCGGCAACCGCAACTGCTGCAATACTCCAGTCACCGCGCTTGTAGAAGGTTGATAGGGTCGACATAGCCGTACTCCTACTGAAGTTGCCGCGATGCTGATGCAAATAGGGTTCCGGTCTGCTTCTCAAGTCCGTGGACCTCTGAGGGCTTCTGCTTAATACCAAATCGGGCGTTTTACGCAGGATCTGCGGAGCTCGGAGTCCAAGCTCGAAGCGACTTGGTCGACATAGATTGTTTACCTGCGCTCTCATATCGCGCTTGGATGTGTAGGCTGTAGAAAGCTCGAATTGACGCTTTGAAACATCGGTTCCAGAATTGAAGCTGTGATGCCTGAAGGGTGCTTTGGCACGAGCCCCTGCTGGACCCGAAGCCGCCGACAGCGCTGGCGGCGGCGATAACCAGGCGAGCTGGGGAGATGCGGACATGGGGACATGGGGACGCTCCCTTCCACGATCCTGCTTTTGCCTTCGTTTTGCCCATCCCTGTTTAAAGCATCTCGTTGGGGCAGTGCTTGTAAGAACATCTCTTTTCTTGGGGGGACTGCGTGGGGACTGCGTGTTGCTGGTATGCCTGCGCAGCAGGCGGCAACGCCACCCGTTCTCCCCAGACTCGACAGCAAAAGCGCAAGCAAAAGCGCTTCGGCAAGCCCACCTCCCCGAGCGCCTGGCGGAGCGCTCAGCACGGGATCTCCGACACGCTCAGAAGTCGGCCTTCCTTCTCCTTCTCTCGTTCAATCCCCTCCTTTGTGATGCAGCATGTATACTGTATACACTAGGTCTGTAAGAAAGCTGCACTTCACAATTTGTGGCCACGGTTCCGAGACAGGGACCTGCCTTTTTTGCTTGGGCAAGGACAAGTCGCGCTAGTTTTTGCCACTCTTAGTATAGCGGGCTCCGGATCAGCAGCCGTTCAGCAATTTCCCACATTCAAAGGTTTCAGGCGTCCGTGAACCGCTTTTAGGTTGTTGCGTTACTTAACATGGTCCCATAGGTATTCATACCCTTGCTAGCCAGTGAGTTGTCAACGTTCAGATTCTAGTTGGTTCTGAACTTGACGTATGTGCTCTAGCATTGTCTGCTTTTCGGGTAGTGGGCAGATATGGGATCCGTGGCACAAGGTGTCACTGTGTTGTGCTTGAGGCAAAGCAGAGGCCAGGGACTTTCGCTTGCGGCATGCGGCATGCTGCACCCTGGCATTCCAAAACCGATGTTTCTATATTGCTTAAGCGTGAAGCCGTTTGATTTTGAATACATGCAAAATGTACTAAATTTGCTGTGGTGCAAGTTGATGCCAATGCGACTGCTTGGAGGGTATCCAGCATAACCGTAGGTGGACTTGCTTGCTAAATTTGCCAAGTGCTTTTGTAAGTTGAAGGGTGGCGCAGAGCCTCCCTCGGAATGTGCGTGTGACAAGGTCATGCTCATCATTTTGTTGGCTTCGAGCGTCTAGCAACCGAGCTGGTCCCCAGAAGCCGACAGCTGAGAGATCAGCTGAGGCCGTGTGATGTGTCAACGCTCTCCTCCATAGTCGTTTGCAATATCAGATCTATTTTTTCTATCCTTTATGACACCTCACAACACCTCACGGCAGGCAGACGCTTTGGTCGCTCTGCGTGGTGTCTGGGAGCCGGAAGTCTATGGCTTCAGCAGACCTGGATGAGCTCATCGAGTCTGAGGTCTGCGATGTCCGATGTCGCTTGTGTCTATGGAAGTCCCCTAAAGCAAAATGCCGGGGGGGGGGGGGGGGGGGGCTCAGCCTGGACAGAAGATCGATATGCGCAGGTGGAGAGGTATCTGCGATCTAGATTGGTTATCTGCCAGCTTACAGCCACGTGGAATGCAAGAGTCTTCGTCAGATGGTTGGTTCTATCAGGTTGAGGACGAGAAACTGAGAAGGAACTTTAAAGGAACGCTCTGAATTCAGCGTTGCAAGCTATTTTCGTGGTGTGAAGGCATGTGTTGGGGGGCACCCCGGGTTCCTTGCAGGCTTCAGGTGTGCGGTAGCTTCTGAAGCGACAGAGGGACAAGAAATGTTTTTGGAAGGTGATCACTTGAAAGCTGCAGCAAACATGCAAGGACGTGGTGACGCAGGACCTCATCGCCAAGTTCAACGCAGACTCTGATACTGAGGACCTGTCATTTCTCGGTGCTTTGTTACGACTCGATGGCCGTCACTGAAGGGTGGCCACGGTGGTTATGCGTTTTTTCGGACCGATGACAGCATGGCGGAGTTCATGCTTTTCATGCTGCTTCATGTAACCTGAATGAAGGAGGAGGCTGAAGAAGGAGATGGCGTAGAAGGCAAAGGCTTATTCAACGTCGCCACCATGGGCAAGAGCAGAGCCTTGCCCTGAAACTTCCAGATACGCTCGGCAGTCCGCACTTTAAGGAGTTGAGCTGCTTGTGTCATCTTGCGTCATCTTGTGTCATCTTGTGTCACCTCAGGAGGCAGCAAACCGTGGAAGGACGCTTTGTTCGGGGATGTCGGTGGGCGCAGGGGCCCGGCGCCTGTTCATCCTTTGGGGGCCCCCGTGGACTTCTCCAAGCCCCTCGGCACGACTCGGCACGACTCGGCATGGGGAACTGTTGCATACTCTTGCTGTCGACGCCATGGCTGTGCCTTCCGAATCCGTGGAGACTGCACGAGGAACTCTCTGGCCAAGCGGTTGCAGATGATGAGCCCGGAACCTGCAGTAGAGCCTTTCGCAACCTTGTTATGTAATGTCATGTAGGTCTGGTTGCACAGTTGGGGTGAGCTGAGATCTCAAGGTATCAGCAGCCTGGCGAACAAAGTCACCGGTGCCGTCGGCCAGGCTGCGGGCAGCGTCGCCGATGCTGCGAGGCAGGCGGCGCGCAACGAGAACCGCCAGCGGGCCAAGGAGAAGGCGCACTGCCACTGGGCATGGGCATTTCCGCTGAAATGCGGTAGTGGCGGAGGTTCCAGTAGTCTTTGTCAAGTCTGTCCCCAGGGCATGAGGCAGTTCGAACATCGCTTCTTCCGTGCCTTTACCACCGGCCTCGGCCAATCCCTCTTTGGCCATTCGGCTGCAGTCGGTACCATCCCAGTTTTGATTCCAGTCTTTGTAACACTGGGATAAATCCAGGGTTTCAGCTTCAGGCAGAATGGTACAGGAAAACCGAACACCTTGCAACATCGATGTTGTTGAGGAAGTGTCCAGCCCTCTCAACTTGGGTCTAACTCTAGCTCCCCCCTAGTTTGCTGATTTATCGAGGGATCACGTCATGCCCAATGATGTTGAGGCGATCGAGAAGACCTCGTGTCTCGCTTCGAAGCGGCAGCGCTGAATGTCTTACAGACGTATCAGGCTCCTCCCGATGCCACACATAATGCTCTGCCTTGATTTGGCTAGATGTGTGAACGATTTTTCTTGAGGGCGAGCTGCCTCTTGCCCTTCATTCTTTGATGGGCTGGCTCCCAGACACCTGGCAGAAAAAGAAGTGCATATGCGAATTCTGTCCAACCCGGGATGCATTTTGAGAATTGCCGAGTGAAGGCTTGACAGACACCATCTTGCAGTCGAAAAGGCACACGTGTCGAACAGCCTCTTTGTGGTGGTGCTGGGTCTTCCAGCGCTTGTCGCGTCCAAGCAGACCCCCGACAAGTTCGGCATGCTTCTCAACTGCCCCTGCCTTGAAGCGCATGGAAATGTGTTTGGACTGATGAGCTCGTCATTCACTTTCACGGTAGCAGACTGTAGCAGAGGCGTCAACTGCATCGCCAACGGCAGTGGTCGTGACCTGACTACGAACAGTTGGAGCTCCAGGCTCCATGCGTTCCAATCACGTTTCCGGTTCCAATCAGGTTCCGCACACACAGGGCTGAGGCCTCGAAGATGCGACACGCATCAAAACTAAGGCTATGTCTTCGTCAGCACTCCCAGCTGGTACCTACCTCTTTCTGCACGTATTGGTGGTCTGGGGCGGTTGCACGAGATTCGGGAGAGATCGCTCGCATTGTGTGAGGTGCTCAGTTTATATTCAGTCTTCTCTGCATGGAAAGATAGCCGAATTGTCCTCGCTGCAGGTGGTCGGCCGGTGACGAGTGTCCAGGCTGTATGGCCAAGCCCTTGTGAGCCACAGGAGGGGAACATGGTGAGGGCCATGCTGCATCTGTGTGGTCCGCTCCGACAGTGTTTTGTGCCAGCAGCTCTGCTGGGGTTGATATCACAGCTTGAAAAAC